AAAAAAAAAAAAAAAAAAAAATATCGAGAATAATTTTCAAGAATAATTTTTCTTAAACTTTCTCCAGATTTCCAACGGCGTATTTTATAAATTTATACTGAAAGCGTTCTCCAAGAAGCCTGCTATCGAATTCAGTTTCAATCGTTACGATTTTGGATATTGTTACATTCAGGAGAACGAATTAATTTCATACAAGACGGAGCTTACCGTGACAAATACCGAAGACGTATCATACGTGTGAGTTTTTCAGTAAAAAAAAAAAAAAAAAAAAAATTCTAATTTAGCTTTAATCGTTTTCCAATTGATTAACAAATTGCCGCATTCCGGAAATTTTTGAAACGAAAATTTTCATCATTGTTTCAATTAACGTAACGCAGACTCGAATGCAAGTACGAGAACAAACCCTACCTCTCCATCGATTTGAATTTCATGTCTGAAGCGTTGGCCGCCCATTCTAAGATCACCATACCGATCATTTTTCGACCGCTTAAGGAGATAAAGTACCACGAATGTTTGGTATTTGTGATCAACTCGTTTCACGAGAGGAAAGTAACGATTACAGGCGAGGGGATCACCTATAAAGTAAATTATTCCCGAATGAAAACTTTCGTGTAGGAAACGTGACAAATCTAGTTTCTCGAATGAAACGAAAGGTTAATTGACGAAAGTTGAGAAATAAAACATAATAGTTTCTAAGATTTATATTTCTCTATCCCGAAATGAAATGAAATAGATCTGAGAGTAATATAATCCACGGATCGATAAAAAAGAAAAAATGTAAAGAAATTTGTCAATAATTAGTTTGTTTCTTAACTTTTTTTATCGATAAATTTAATTTAACGTATTTAATTTTTTATTATCCTATAATTAGAATTATCTCCGATTGTTAAATCAATTAGGATTAATTAAGCAACTAAAATACGGATCCATTGGACGCAAAGATCAATAAAATTCTTCTATCGAGAAACTTGATTTTCTTGATTCTGAAAAAAAAACGAAACAAGACGCTAATTTTAATCTACGGTATTGCCAATTTCTAGATCTATTTAATGAATTCTCGGGACAAAATTATCGATCTTGGTAACATTCTTCCTATGAAAGTGGTGGTGAAGAAGATCCCGGTGGTGAACAAGGGCTTGGCATCGGTCAAAGTGAAATTCGGGGTGATGCACTATCTGGGTGGTTATGACGATTACTACGAAAACCTAGGTTATTGTCACTTGAAGCGGGATATCCCTATTCTAGCTAAAGCGTCCATCATGGAGACCAAGCGTTCCTGGACCATCGACAGTGTGTTGGACACCATAGAACCGAAACTTTACGAAGTTTTGAAGATCAAGCCGTCGACCAATGTTATTCTGAAACCGAATAAGAGTCTCAACGTGATGATCTTCTTCAAACCCACGGCCAGGGTAAGGCCGTTCTCGATTAAGATCGCTCTTCAAACGAATTCGAACATTATACCGTTGTTCTTGGTTCGTGGAAGCTGCACAGGAACGGAATTTCGCTTAAACAGGACCAGTATTTTCTTCGGAACGGTGATTCAGAATTGTATCGAAGAATCTAAGGTGATTCTGATGAACACCGGCGATCTGGGATCAAGGTTGGTGAATAAAATTCGCCCTCCTTTTTTTTTTATCCTCCATAATGGATACTTGATTTCGTTTTTTCTTTTTTTCATTTCTCCATCTTTCATAGTAATCATAGTAATTTTTGGATACGGATTATCGTTGATAAATAAATGTTAACGAACAAATAGATTCAAATGGAACGTAGAGAAATTGCCGAAGGATTTCCAAATCATCCCTATGTCCGGTTACTGCTCGGTCGACACGCATATCGTTTTCGTGGTGAAGTTCCAACCTTTCGAGCAGAAAAACATAATCGAGGGTGAGGTGAGTTCACGACCTGGTTTCGCTGCGTACGAATATGTCAAACAATCTCTTAATGAGATTCTCTGCACGCGTGTTCCACGCCCTTCTCTTTCTCCATCGTTTTAATTTTCGAGATTGCGTTAAATCTAAAAATCGTCCGATAATAATTCGATCCCTTCGATTATTTTTAACAATCCATTCTATTTAATCCGTTTCCTTGAATAAGAATTTATTTTTAACTTTTAACGAGTGGCAAAAGGAAAAAATTGATCTCGACTCGAACGATTCTCAACTTGTATAAAGAATAATAATACAAAGAAGAAGGTGTTTGATGGATGTTTCGCGAGGAAAATTGTTTCACAACTATTCTATCGATCAAACATTATTTCGAGAGAAATAATTCCGCGATTAGATTCCTTCGATTATTTTTATAACAATCCACTCTATTCGATCCATCTTTTTGAATAAGAATTTATTTTTAACTTTTAACGAGTGGCAAAAGGAAAAAATTGATCTCGACTCGAACGATTCTCAAAGAATAATAATATAAAGAAGAAGGTGTTTGATGGATGTTTCGCGAGGAAAATTGTTTCACAACTATACTATCGATCAAACATTATGTTTATATTATTTCGAGAGAAATGATTAAATAACTGTAACACGTCGAATCTTAAACGTACTATTGAAGAAGAATGTTACGTTATTCCTTTAAGTCTTTAATTTTAACGACGATTTTTATTTAATGACTCATTCTCAGTCGGCCTTCGCAATAAATTGTCATTTACGATGCTCGAACAATGCATTATATTTACGTGCAAATCTACACGTGCAAAGAAAGATTGTGGCAAACGCAATTCGCAACAACAAATTGACAAAGATTCTTTACGTGTATATGTATATTCCTACATTTCCTGGCCAGGCATTTCTAGAAATCGAAAAACACAAATCTCTGAGCATTAAAATATCAGGAGCGTGTTGCAAATTGCCAGATCCCACAGACACGATCAATTTCGAGTCGTTCGTACGGGAAAAGCAAACCCGATCCGTGATCATAATGAACGACTCGAACGCCCCCTGGAAACTGAAGATCGAAGTGACCGGCGATTATTTCTCCGCTGACCAATTCCTGCAAGTCCCTCCACTGCAAATGGCTCCTTGCGTCGTCACTTACGCGCCCCTCGTCATGAACACCGAGAAGACGCTGCACACGGTAAAAAGATAATTATAAAATAAATAAATTTGCGAGGCTGTTTAACGAAATTAAGAAAATTTGCAAAGCTACTCTTGGAAAAGTTTATCCTTTATCGTATCGAACACCACCAGGGATCATTGGCATTGAAATGTCCGGAGGAAAACGTGTATTTGATATACGCCCTTCGTGGAAGAAGCTTGCCTCCCCAGATTTTGGAGAATATTATTCGTCGGATCCCCGCTAAAACGAAATACACCGAACTTTTGCCTGTCTACAATTGGTTGGACAGACAGCAGCGATTTTATTGTAAGATCGAATTGCTGGAAGATTATGATCATGATGCTGATCATCATGATAAGCAAGAGGTTTGATTTTTGATTTTTGATATAGATAGGAAAAATATTTGAATATAAATCTCACTTATATATATATATTTTCCATGGACAGGTTCCTATATATAGTTTCGTAGGAAACGAGAAATTCGACGTTCCAGCGAACGGTCAACGAGACTATCACGCCGTGTTTCATTGCTACGAGAAGTGGAATTTTCATTTTAAGGTACTTGCTTTAATCTTTAATAATCGTAAAATATTATATTTCGAGATTTTTTTTTTTTTTGTTAAAATTTTTTGATATACAGATAACGTTTACCAACGACGAGCAAGAATATCAATTCTACGAGATAGAGTACGAGGTAACCGAACCGGAAGTGATGGAATCGATTAAATTGACAACAACGGTTCGATCCGAGATTTGTTACCCCTTGAAATTCGAAAATCCTTTGAACTATGTAATTAGACTTAATGCGCATTGTTTCAATCCATTTGTTATCGTCAAAGTACCAAGATTAATGCCGCCACAATCGTGCGTAAGTAATCGTTGTCTCGTTTTCCCTTCAAACTATATTAATGGAAAATAATGGAAATTGTATTAAATTTCTAGGAATATATTTCTATTTATTTTAATCCTCTGCTGCCGTGCGACGAGTCTGTCATTCTGAATATCAATTCCACTTATATGGGCCTGTTCCCGTACGAATTGCAATTGAAAGGCGTTTCAGCGCCTCCGGAGAATGTCACACGTGTTAACGCTTATTTGGGAAATATTACCGAGTTTACGCTCATTCTGAAAAATTTAACCAAAGAGTTTGCCCAATTTGTAATACAAGTACGCGAGATATCATCATAATTACGAATATAATTTTTGAAATAATTCTTAGATATCGAATGTAAGTCTCGTTGTTTCCTTTTACTTTTTTTTTTTTTTTTTTAGGTGGATAACAATTGTTTCACGTGTCCAGAAATTGTCGAGGTTAACGTAGAAGACGTGTATATGCTCAAGGTAATTTTCGAGCCGTACGACGTTGAAAATGTGTCCGCCACGTTGACAGCATCCTCGATCACTGCTGGAGAATTCATGTAAGAAGATGTAATTTACTCGTCAAACTTATTCCGAGGAGCGAGAAGAGAAACGATTCGAGGATATCGATATCAAAAATCAATTTTGAAAAATTAATCCTATTTCCCTATTTAACTTCAGATTTCCGTTGATCGGTTCGTGCTCCCTGCCAAAGCCAATGGGTCCTTACATAATCACTCGAACCTCTTTTGCTAGTATTTCTTTCAAAAATGTCTTCAGAAAAGCAAAGACCTTCAATTTTATCGTCGACGAGCCTGATAGTTTCACGGTGAGCACGTCATCGATCACTTTGAATTCAAAACAGGTAATTTTTAAATCGACTCTTTCGGGTTCTTTTTATCTAAAAATTAACGAATTGAAATGTTTCAATTCGATTCTCTATCTGGGATATAATATATATACATATATATATACTTTTCCAGAGTATCGTTGTTAATGTGAATATTAAGGAGACCGAGCAATACAAAGAAGAAAAATTTCAGGAAGAAAAGTATCCTGTTACTGGAAAATTAATAGTGTACTGCACTGATCCGGAATTTTCTCACATTAACTGGGTGTATTATTTGAGAGGAATATTCGAATGATGTACATTTTTCGTCCCAAAAATATTGTAATTATAAGCCGAATAAAAATTCTATATATATATATATATCCAAATAAATATGATATTACGAAGAATTCTGTGATTATATTTAGTAATAAAAACTTTGGTGAAAAGAATGCACACACCTTAACACACCTAAAAAAGATCGTTTCGCGTTAAGAAAGAAGACTTTGACCTTTATCAATTAGGATTGAGTAAATATTTAAAGAAAAAGGAAAAAAAAAATCACATCTTTCACTTTTTTCCTTATTCTAACCTTTCTCATTAATCATAATCATAAATAAATAAATATAAAAAAAGAGAAAAAAATTTTCTTTCGGTCATCTTCGCTCGCTGACATTTTCCCATCAACGTTTTCTTCTCTTCCATCTATCTTTTTTTTTTTTTCTTCATCAACGATGTATAAATATTGTAATAAAAAAAAGTAAAAAAAAAAAAAGAAAAAAGAAAGAAACACGCAGATTCACTATCTCATTCGATTTCCATCTACGAACAAACAATAACGCGTGCGTGATCGTCACGTAAGCCTGGCATTGGGTTTTTCTCGGCAGCCATCGAATTTCGACGCGCGATTCGCTCACCGAGACTGAGTGATTCATCAAGGCGAAGCGAGTGAATGAAATGTTCCGATTTCGTAAGAACTCGAGCTCCGTCTATCAACGTGTGTCGAGCTCGTTTCCCTCGATTCCTTCTCGAGGCGTTTGACCCACAGTTGACATGAATTCTTTTCGGATGGGAAACGAGTGAACCGTGTAAAATTCATCGAAACGTTCACGACGGATTTCCCAAATCCATAAAAAGCCAAGCTATTTATAAAATTTTATGATTCGTTTAACCTTTTAACTTTTAAAAATTAAACATCGAGCTTGATCCAAGTTTAACAATCTCTGGATATCCTCTACGATTTTCAACCGTACGTACTCTGTATTTCCTTTCGCGTTCTCTCTTAATCTTCTCTATCGAGAATCCGGACGAAGTTTTCCCAAGTTCTAACTAGAAAGATACACACAGGAATGAAATATATATATACAGAATGCTCGAAGATGGTATCGATCGATATGTATCTTATAAGATGTTTGGATGAAATTCAGAAGATGGAAGATAAGATTCGTTTATATTATATACGAATTAAAAAAAGAAATATTCAATTTTTTTTTCAACCGATAAAAAAATATTGAAACGGTTACCTTACTATACGATACATATATATATATATATATAAGACGTGTGAAATATAAACATATATTTTTTCGGCGAAATATTTTTAAGATGCACACGAATATAGAGATATATTTGTCCATTGTGTGATTCAGAGAATGGGATTTCCAACTCGAATCTAATTGGAAGTCCCCTCGTGGAATTCTGGGATTTTAACTAGTAGTTCAAGGTATATCATAATCGAAACAATGTTCACAACGGACTATTTATTGAAAATCATGCCATTTCCGCTACGTGCCCATTCCGGCTTGTCATTGCCGTGACGTAGGTGGAAATCTCGGGATCATTCAATGAAAAAAAGGATCTAACGATTATTTCACTTTCAATGGTAATGTTTCTTAGTTGCAATTTTTTATTGTCAATACGTGATCCGAAGGCTGTTTCTCATTTATCTATCCACCTGATCTTTAATTTAATTTTATTGAGAAATGAACAGAATCGCACGCGTTGAATTTTTTAATATATTCTCGTATTATAATATATTCTTCGTCCCAAGTTAAACCAGAGATATGCATTTTTTATTTCCATACGTTCCTTCTTTAAATTTGATGAACTGATACCTGAAATACTGACGATATTTTTTTCACGAATAAAATTAATTAACAATCGCTCGAATCGTGAATTATTCAATTTTTCTTCATTTTAACCGTCAATGAATGTAATTGTACATAATAACGCGACATGCGCCATTATTATTAAAAAAATTATTAAAAAAAAAGGATAATAATTTACCAAGAGGAGATAATCCGTTGCTCGTATCGCTCGTATCGTCTTTACAGTGAAAATTACACGTTTTCACGGTCCATCTGACGATAGGAATCTTGAGATCGGAATCGGAATCTTTCGGATGGAAGAGATGGAAAGATCATGCCGTTCTGAGATTATAGACACCTCGAAGATTTATTATTTTTTTTTTTTTTGCCTTTCGATATAATAATAATAATAATAATAATATAATCGGTTCTCTCTTCGGTAATTTGCATAGTTGCGGAAAAACGACGATCCATGTGACGATTCTTAGCTACTGTTGCTATTTTTATTTCTTCAAAAATGTCAAGAGAAGTTATCTTCATATTTTTTTTCAAAACTCAAGACCGAATCTTTTTTCTTCTTCTACAAAATTCAAAGATTAATCGATGATCGATAGGATAAAACGATGACTAATGTTTTCTTTTTCTTCTTCTTCTTCTTCTTCTTCTTTTGCTTCTTCTTCTTCTTCTTCTTTTGCTTCTTCTTCTTCTTCTTCTTCTTCTTCTTCTTCTTCTTCTTCTTCTTCTTCTTTTGCTCACGAATATTTTTAGAAACATTCTCTATGAGCAGTCGTTGAACTTGACCTTGAGATTTTCAGAGAATATAGAATAGAAAAAAATGAAAAAAAGAGTTCTCGATCGAAAGCAACGTGTGATAGATTGAATGATCTATAAATGAAAGATACGCGTGTCAGAAATTCGTAGGAGAATGATAAATCGTCCTAAAATGAGAACAATAAACTTTTTACGAAAGAGCTCGAGTTTTGGAAGCGTAATGCCGTCATTCTTTCGCAAAAAGATTTCGATATATCTGCTACTAGGACGTGTATCCTTGCCTTTAATATTTGTGATTACGTCAATACCATTTTGGGTTTTCGAGAGAAAGAGAGAGAGAGAGAGAGAGAGAAACTAGTTGTTGAAGATAAAAAACGAATTGATCGAACACGAATTTTTAGGTAGCGTAAAAAATAAAAAAGGATAAAGAAGAAGAGACATTTTTTTTAATTTCTTCCAATATAATTAATAACGACTATAAGAATAAAATTTAATGGATGTTGTCCATTAAAAAGATGAGAAAGAATTTAAAGCATTTTTAAAATCAACTCAGAATCACTTTTTCTTTCTCTGAATCTAACGATCGTGAAATTTCTTGACCTAATTATATCGATATGGATGGGGGTCAAGAGATTGCAAGAGACGTCATAATTGCAATCATCGCATCGCATCGTTCACAACAAAAATAAACGATTATCGCTCCGCGTCTGGATTTTCCTTCGTAATTTTCAATCTCTATTTTATCGTATTACGAATCTTCGTATCCTATTTTTACATAATATTTACGATCGTCGAAAAAGATCTTGCAAAGATTCTCAAATATTTTTTCCCATTCTTCACAGAGAAATACCGCTAATCAGAATTTTTTCCTCTATGTTAATGTAATTACGTCAACCGATCATTTACGCTTGCATCATTTACCGATCATAAAATTTTACAGAATTATCTAATAACCGATAACCGATGGAGAGAAACAAACAAATCTAGAATAATTCGTCTAGAATAATTTAATCTAGAATAATTTATCGATCATCTCGCAACAGATACTCCAACTTTTCTTGCCGCCAACAAACGGTTCTTGGAAACGGAACAATCCATTTCTTCGTTTCATCAATTCCGAAACTTCCAACCATTCATGTGCTTACTTACCAGTCGGATTGCAAAGTATTACTTGTCCAAGATGCCTTCGATAACCGGATGTTTGCTTCTATATCTCCTTTTTTTCCAAGCTTCCTACCTTCTCCTACGCAACTTACTCATAGATATTAATCGCTTCGTTGATCGATCGATGAAACCATCGAGTTAAAATTATAAATTGTTAAACGATATTTCGCTCCCCAATTGTCGATCTCGATCAATTTTTAGTCAATATTATATTTTCGCGTATTCGATTTATCTCCAGATAAATTTATTCCCTCCCCCTACTTTTATTTCCTACTAATTATTCGTATCTTCAATTTTTTATTATCCTTATTTCGAATTAACTTCCAGTCTCGAATCTGGTTACATAACTATATTATAATGTCAAACAATCTCCACGTTCTCGACTACTATCGACAGATGACACACACACACATAACTGCGCTCACAAGACAAATATGATATTCCTTATTATGTACATTGGAATATGATGACATTTATGCTCAATTACGAAACCGATTCTTCCAACGAACAATATACCGTAAATATACCGAAATATTTTTTTTATTATCCTTCGAAAGATGATCGATCTTAAATTACGAATCAAGAGCATCGAATAAAACGATACCATTCTCGGTCCATCCGATAATAATAAAATAAAATTTGGACCCTCCGAAACACTTCTCTTCCGAAACTAATTTATCTCTTAATCAATGACGAAATTCAATCAATTCTCTTCAAACAAATAATTCGTGAATCTTCTTCGATAATTTTGAAAAGTCGAACGATCGAGTCTGGGTCGAGGAAATCCATTGATTTAGCGATTGGAATTCCAATTCCAAGAGGAACAGTCCATCGCATGGAAAAATGCGAAACAATTCGAAGCGATTAGACCTTGACAGTGTCGGGTCCCCGGCGAAAGTTTTGTCCACCGCCTCGGAGATCACCGGTCGATCCGGTCTCTCGTACCCTCGTTTCGTGGAAAGCGTCGACGATTTTTGGAAGATCGGCATTTCGGGATCGGAAACGTGACCGTGGAAAGCTACGTTTCGCGTGGGAGAGGGGAGAAAAATCGACGGGGAACGATGATCCGCGATGAGTGACGATCAATTATTGACCGACGTAAAATCCACCGGTGCCTCGTATATAAGTTGTTGTCTCGTTCAACAGCTTCAGTCGTTCTTCACTCTTCGGCCACACCGATTATCGATCCGAGGCAGCGAGTTTTCGCGAGATAGATAGAAGATAAGTTCGTTTCGTGGATATTCGTGTAATATATATAATAAATATATATATATATATATTCTCGAATTGCGCACAGTGTGAGAAAAAATGCGGTATCTCGAGTGTTTCGTGGCGTTGATGGTACTATCGTGCCTCGCAAGTTCGTTCGCGGAACCTGGTGAGTCTGTTTCTTATTTTTGAATTGACTTCCGGTTGAAAGATGGATACCTAGGTGATGGTGACACCTTTGATTGATTTACCTTTCTATATTCTTTTCGATACGAAAAGAAATGTTAGAAACGAAATTAAGATCAATTTCTTCTCGCGGTGTGTCTTAATTTTTAACAGAGATTTTTATTTTTTTTTTTTTTTTCAATAACCTTGCTAGAATTGTTTCAAGCAAGTTGATTTCGTTTTTATTCACAGGTGTCCTCTTAGATCTGGCGAAGGATCATCAAAAGCGCGTGGCAAGTTTGCTGGACCCGCTAGGATTGTTCCACAAGAAGGATCAAAGCTCGAGCTCGTCGCACTCGTACGGGAACAACCTACAGCTAGGACCACTTTCCTTTTCGAGCAGCTTGGCCAGCTCTTCGGCCACGGCCGAAGGCAACGGTGCTACCTCCGTTGCCAAGGCGAATTCTCAAGCCTTCGGCCAAGGCTCCGCAAAAGCTGACGCCAGCGCAATAGCCAACGCTCAAGGTACTCAGACATTCACAAATATTACATTATCGGCGCGATATCGATTGTTATAACATTCTTCTGGACGATCCCCTCGAAAATATTCCGCGTGAAATATTTTTCTAACGATCGAATCTTTTAGATTGAAATTTTACAGAGAGAGAGAGAGAGAGAGAGAGAGAGAGAGAGAGAGAGAAATTATCAGTAATCGGATCTTTTCTTCGAATCGAATTTTCTTTGGACGTAAATCACATCGGTTCCACGTTACATTCCAGATTATTCAGATTCTAACATCGGTCACAACTACTACTACGTGCCGACAGACGTGCAACAATACGACGTCCCCGGTGGTTCTCAGTCGATCACGAATCCGAATGATGGTTATAACGCTGCGAATACCGTTGCGAGCGCCGCTGCAAATGCTAATGCAAACGCGAACTATAATGCGAACAGAGGTGCGAACTCGAACGTGAACGCCAACGCGAATTCGAACGCCGTTTCTTATACCGGTGCAACGCCGACCAATTATTATTCTCCCGGATACGATCTATCCGATACCGGTGCCAATGCAAATACGAATCTTAAAAGTAACAGTGCGAACAATGGCGCGGGAACGCTCGACGGCTATTACACGGCTCCTGAAAGTTTTCGAGGTAATGCAGCAGATGCGAGAGAGAATTCTATTAGCGGAGCGGGATCATCCGATAATTATTATGCTCCTGGAGGAGCGTGGAGCGATGGTGGTGCGATCGCGGATGCAAAGACGAATATTGTCGATGGTGTAACGAGTGGCTATAAACTTGGAATCACGAAAAGCAACGTGGGCCCGATCGACAATTCGAAATTGAACGGTGGAGTGGAATTACCAATTGGATATTATCCTTCGGGAACTCGAAGCAACGCGGTGACCGGTAGCAAGGTATAAATCATCGTCGTTTCACAAATCAAATCGATTTTCTAAAATAATTTCGATAATCCTCTCGTATCGAGATGGTGAAATAGAGGTTGAAATCCTTTTGCTCGAATTTCCTCCTCCTCGTCATCATTATCATTATCATCGAAGGGCTGAAATAATTGATAACGAGTTGCCTCCGGTTCGATTCACACAGATTCCTTATCGTCCTCACGACGATGAAGAAACCGTGGTAGTGATCGTAGATCCGCCACCGGTCCACAGGCCACCATTGGACAGGCCGCCATTCGGTAGGCCACCACCATTCGGTAATCCACCACCATTCGGTAAGCCATCACCACCATTCGGTAGGCCACCACCATTCGGTAGGCCATCATCATTCGGCAGGCCACCTTTCGAGAGATATCCACAACCTGATCACGGCCCTGAGACAATCAAAGTGATCGTGATCGAAGAGCCGGCATATCATAGCCAAGGTGAGCTGCCTCGAACGGATGTTGGATGCTGATTTGCACGTGTGACTAAAGAACGTTGTTTCACGTTGAAGAAGAAGATTGTATCGATCGCAATCGCTATGTCGCATCGATGATTTAGATATCTGTTGTTTGAATAATCGGCGGACGATGTGTAAAATGGGCACGATGATACATCACATTGATTGCACTTGCGAGAAATTATTCTTTGTCGTTTCAAGGAGAGGATTGTATTATTTCTTCGTGTAAATACATCGGAACGATACTAATATACTCGAGATATATGTACAACTTGTGTGAATTGTTATTAATCTAAACAGATCGAACAGGTTTCGTTCTCTTTTCAACATTGTGTACGTTTAACATTTAACACGAGAACCCATCATGATACTTAACCGTTGTGTAATTATTTTTCAACGGCACGTTTACGTAGATCTTGTTCCCAATAGCACAGATATATGTATTCAAGTCAACGGCATGTACATTTATTTTTTATATTATTATAAATTTTCCTTGGTATTCATAGATATTATTTTTTCAGCAGGAGCGAGTAATGGAAAGGGTCAATACGGTCAACCGATCGACTATCCGGTTGGAGGCTATCAGAATGGTTATGGAGGAGCTAACGCAAACGCCAATGCTAATGCCATCGCTATTGCAAACGCAAATGCCAAAGCAAACGCAGCAGCTAACGCAGGAGCTAATGCAGGAGCTAATTCCATCTCTGGTGCGAACGGCTACCCTGTTCAGGAATCGGGATACTATCCTGGAAATGCTCCAACCACTTCCATCGGAACGAACAATCCTTTCTTGACTGGATCTCAAGGAACCGGAGGGGCTAACGCAGGCGCTAACGCAGCCGCTAATGCAGGAGCCAACGCAGGTGCTCTTGGAAACGCGTATCCAGGAACATCAAGGCCAGGAAGTCAGAGTGCGGGTAGTTATCCAGGTGGCTCGTACACTGCTGGATCGGGCAATCCTTTCCTAACTGGTGGACAAGGTCAAGGAAATGCAGGTGCCAACGCTGCTGCCAATGCTGCTGCTAATGCTGGTGTTATCTCTCAAGGACAAATCGGAGCACAAAATCCTTTCCTCAATCCTGGATTCCAACCTACTGCAAGTCCTCACGGACTTGGAGAATACGTAATTAATAATGAAAAAACTGTTGGAAAACAGAATGGAGGTCGCCCCATTCCTACTACTTATCCTGGCCAAGGAAGCAAACCAGGAAGCTATGGAACGAACGTACCCACGATCGTTGGATCAGGAGCAAATGCAGGAGCCAATGCAGGAGCTATCGCCAATGCTAATGCTGGTGCGAATGCAGGTGGATACGGTCAGCCTGTTAAAGAAAGTCCTGTAATTATTCCTGCTAATCCAAGTACAAATTATGAGGGCGGAGCTGGATCAGGTACCGTATTCGAAAATACGGGAAGCGCATTTGGAAATTCTGGATCCGGTAGCAATGGCTATGGTGTTCCTACAAAGGGTGTTCCTACTTATCAAACTGGATTAGTTTCTGGTGGAGCAAATGCTGGAGCGAATGCAGGAGTAAATGCTGGAGGATCTGGTGACTATGGTGTACCAACAAAAGGTGCTCCAGTCTTTGGAACGTCTGGACCAGCTTTTGGAACTGGTGGAGCAAATGCTGGAGCGAATGCTGGAGCGAATGCTGGAGCAAATGCTGGAGGTAGCGGATCTGGTGGTTATGTTGTACCTATAAAAGGTGCTCCAGTCTTTGGAACGTCTGGACCAGCTTTTGGAACTGGTGGAGCAAATGCTGGAGCGAATGCTGGAGCAAATGCTGGAGGTAGCGGACCTGCTGGTTATGGTGTACCTACAAAAGATGCTCCAGTCTTTGGAACGTCTGGACCAGCTTTTGGAACTAGTGGAGCAAATGCTGGAGCGAATGCAGGAGTAAACGCTGAAGGTAGCGGATCTGGTGGCTATGGTGTACCAATAAAAGGTGCTCCAGTCTTTGGAACGTCTGGACCAGCTTTTGGAACTGGAGGAGCAAATACTGGAGCGAATGCAGGAGCAAATGCTGGAGGTAGCGGACCTGGTGGTTATGGTGTACCTACAAAAGGTGCTCCAGTCTTTGGAACGTCTGGACCAGCTTTTGGAACTGGAGGAGCAAATGCTGGAGCAAATGCTGGAGCGAATGCTGGAGCAAATGCTGGAGATAGCGGACCTGGTGGTTATGTTGTACCTATAAAAGGTGCTCCAGTCTTTGGAACGTCTGGACCAGCTTTTGGAACTGGAGGAGCAAATGCTGGAGCGAATGCAGGAATAAACGCTGGAGGTAGCGGATCTGGTGGCTATGGTGTACCAACAAAAGGTGCTCCAGTCTTTGGAACGTCTGGACCAGCTTTTGGAACTGGAGGCGCAAATGCTGGAGCAAATGCTGGAGCAAATGCTGGAGCAAATGCTGGAGGCAGTGGATCTGGTGGTTATGGTGTACCAACAAAAGGAGCTCCAGTCTTTGGAACGTCTGGACCAGCTTTTGGAACTGGAGGAGCAAATGCTGGAGCAAATGCTGGAGCAAATGCTGGAGGTACTGGATCTGGTGGTTATGGTGTACCAACAAAAGGAGCTCCAGTCTTTGGAACATCTGGACCAGCTTTTGGAACTGGTGGAGCAAATGCTGGAAGCAAAGCTACTGCTATAGCAAATGCTGGAGCAAATGCTGGATCTGGATCTGGATCCGATGGTTTTAATATTGGACCATCTAAAGGTGGAGCAGATTTTGGAACATCTGGACCAGGTTTTGGTACTGGTGGATCAGGAATCGCTGGTGCAAATGCCAAAGCTGATGCTGTTGCAAATGTTGGAAGCAGTGGATCTGGTAATGGTGGTTACGACGGCTTCGTATTTGGAGATGCATCCGCCAGTGCTAGTGCCAAGGCTCAGGCTTCCGCTTCTGCTGGATCAAATGGATCAGGAAGTACGTTTATATATTTATAATTAAGCTAATCTTGTTGCTTTCGCTTCGAATCTCATCCAATTTGAGCTGCAATTGCTACAAATGTATTTAATAACTTATCGAAAAGCATCCATTGCTTTTATAATTGGCAAGAAATCAATTGCCATTTACATGCAGGAAAAAGCTTAAATCTCACATATTCTAAAAGCAACAAGTGTCTAATTCCGTTTCATCGCATATTTCTTTCATCCCATGTAACTTGTTCATTCATTATCTGCTATTGCTTTCATAGGCGACAGTGTGTTATCCATGGCCGATGCAATCCAATTAGGTGTGGTCCTAATTAAATGATTTCGTCTCCATTCCTCAGGCTCAAACGCGATTGCAAACGCGAATTCGAACTCGTTCAGAGGATTTTCTGGTAGCAATGCGTCCGCCAAATCGTCCGCCAAGTCGTCAGGTTTTGGAAATGGATCGGCCAATGCGAATGCACAAGCATCCAGCAAAGCGTCTTCGGGATCCGGCAACAGTTTCGCCTCCAGCTCTGCATCCGCCAACGTGGACACGAGGGGTTTGCTCGTCTTCAGGGATTAATCGTCCAAACATCCGGATATACTCGTTATTTAATTAATTTTGCTCTCTCGAATTATTTAATCGTGGAAATGTTACGAACGCCATGGACCGTGCCATCACTCTAAACTCGATTTTTAGGATACCCTACCGATTAGCTTGTAGGATCTGAAACACGTCAATGGAATTAAGAGTCAAAGCTACATCGATTTAAAACGATTATCGACGCGAACATCGATCGACGCAACGCGATTACCCATGCTGGATCATGGCAATGTAATATCGAAATTCGTAATTACTTTACAACTCGATGTGTTGATATGTAACTAATTTTATTGCGCTTTATCTTTAAAAATGATAATTAATAATTTATCGTGAATGAATAACGAATGAAATTTTATCGGAGTCGAGCATTCGAAAAATAAATTTATTATCATTTGTGATAATATTCTTGCCAATACACGAAGCGTAGCAAGCATTCTCCGTTTGAGAAAATCCTCCGAAATCCTTTTTTTGTCTTTTTTTCCAACGTTAATATCGGATATTAAACTTATCTTCGTTAATTTGTTCACTTTGTCGAAGCGTCAACCCATTTAAAAATTTTTCAAAATGACTTCCATCGTGTTTTATCGTATAAGTGGATAATACTCGATATATGATTAGCGTTTTTTCCGATTTTATAATAGATATTTAAGATTGAACGTTATCTTAGTTCTATAAAACGATGTAGCATGTAATTAAAAAACTTCGTACGTAATTACGTTAAAATTATATTTAACGTAACGAGCGTAGCTATTTTAATCTTAAATCGTGATAGTAATACGAACGAGATAATGTTTTTTTTTCTATCTTTATACATAGCATCCAATCAAATATCGAATTTGCGATATAGTATTTTAATTATCGACTAATAAAAAAGGCATTTTTATATTAATTTATAAACGAATACGAATAAATGCGAAGGCGTATGATCTTCGTACGACTTCTATCCGCAATAAATTCAATTACACTTATTTCTCTTTCAAAACAATTCAATTCTTCTCCAAACTTTTTCCATATAAACAATAATTTACGTACGAGTAATTAGTTGTTGTAAATGTAAAGAACCGGATATCATGTCGTACAAACACAGTCGAAGAAACGAAGTAAAATATCAAAAATATGTCGGTATATTTGTCTCCTATTATTGATATCTGTGCACGCGAATTCTCATAATTTGCGCGTAATTACCGACAATTGTTTTTTAAATTAAGTATCATTTATTTTACGACTTCCACGGAGTTTCCATCTATTATTCTAGCTTATCATACTTCACGCTCTTACGCAATATAAATATTATTGAATATTTATTTTTATTTCCGTCATTAAAGCGTATAAGAACTCATATAAAATTTTAAATTCTCTCTTTTCTTTTTCTTTTTCTTTTTCTTTTTTATATATATCGGCGGATATCTTTGACCTTAGTTCATTAAAAAACTATTAGATAAGCGTAACTGGAATCGTTAAGTGACAGAATTACAAAATCTTCCGTTTAATTTATTTTAATCCATTTTTAAATACACGCCTTTTATTAAGTAAACCATTTACTCATCAAATTTGTTGAGATTCTTACGTAAAACGAGTTGCATATTTTACTTTTCTTATCAATTCGTGTAATACGATAATTTTTACAAATTTCTCTTAAGAAACTATATTGGTCGATGTGCAAATACGCTTGTTTCGTGGTTCATAATGCTTATGAAACATTGACAAACGGCAACATTGAACGACGATCATAAATAACTATTATTGGTGACTCTGTCACTTTTTCATTTTCCCATTACACTTTCCGCCATCATGTTCATTATATATCGAACGCGCAGGCATAATTTGCGTCTGATATAATCTTTACGTGGAAATCCTCAACGACGACGACACGTGGCAATGACATTCTTAAAGATCTAAGACTAACTTTGATCGAAACAAATTTTTTAAAAATCGAAAAAAATTCCTGTCTATTTATTTATATATATATTTCACATTTCTTTAAGAAAAATGTGACCTGGAACTATTTACTTGTTCTTTTTTTTTTTTTTTTACCTTCCATTAATTGCTTTTGCTTTAAATAATTTTCCTCGATTTTTCACCGTGAAAGAAAAGTTCTTTAGAAGAACTCCATTGTTCCGCTAATTCGGTCCCTTGATTTTATTGATCTTTAATTACTTTCCTAAAATTCCAGGTAGGGTTGCCAGGTCAAAGATTTTACCGTTACTTACTTGGCTGAAACTTTCAATTTCTCAAAAGCATCCCCAATAATGGCAAGAAAATTCCTTTAAAAGGAAAGCTTCGAAATTCGGATGCGTTCAGTTCTGGTATAAATCTTGGGTGTGAACGAAGTTATTTTCCTGCTATTTCTTATATCCGTCGCTGCAACGATGGATATCGATTCTTCGTCCTTCGAAAATGAAATTTCTTCGTTGAAAAGTGAGTGTTTTTTTTATATCTTTCATATTCGTGAATTAAAATTGAATAATTAAAATTTCACGTTCAACGATATTCATACAACCTCTTCTATCTGTTCAATTAACGTGCCTAAAAGTATTTAGAGATTTATTTATCGTATGTAGTTTATCTATCATATAAATATAATGTAAAAAGAATTTAATATATATTTTCAGAGAGTGAGATTAAGGAGATGAACGATGAAAGAGGAATTACGAGGTAAATGATATTTCTTTCTTAAAGAGTTCGACTATTCTTAATTGAAATATTTTTCTTTTTCTTTTTCTTTTTTTTTTTCGTTGGAAAGAAAAATTGAGAAACAATCGATATCTTAATCGCTTACCAGGAATTTTTTCCAGTTTCGAAGCGAGGGCAAGAAGAAAGCTCAAGAGAAAAGATTAGTAACTTCTTAGTCTCATCCATCATCTACGTCCACAAAGGTTCACGGGATCGAACACGAAGGTCAATTCGTACAAATTGCCCTTTGAAGACAGCATGCCTCACTTGTACACAGATTATTGACAAAATGTTCGTTCTAGAAATTAAATGTATTAATATTTCTGTAAATTATATTCTTCGAATAAGTTTTCTATGAATATGGTTTTGTTAAGTATCGTAGAAAAATAATATTTAGTAAAGCACGATTACATAATTTATTTAATTAATAATGTTAAGATGTAAGATAAAAATTGTAATTACTATTCTAGATTTATTTTATGGAGAGATACAAGACTGAATTTAACGTAAGACTGATTATTCCTTATAATTCGACGCGAATTCGTTATTTATTTAGAAATATATGAAACCTTCTTTTCTCTATTAATTTTATTTTATTATTTTTCCCCTGTCACTCTTTCACTCTCGTAAGCAATAAATTTACACACATCGATGCAATAAAAATAAGATTATTCTAGGAAAAAAAGAAATTTCGAATGGAAGAATCGATTAATTATTTAAACGACAGATTTAATATCGAGAATTCCCAATGATCGTTGAATAAAACATGATCGTAAGAAAATATTAACTTACATCTTTCGATATTCCTCTCTTTATCTCTCTTTTTTGAATTCTTTTCTTTTCTTTTTTTTCTTTTTTTTTTTTTTTTTTTTTTTGCCTTTTTCATCGCATGATTCTCCGAAGCTGATTAGCGGCCGACACTTTCCTGAGATCCACTTTCGTTCGTCCCTGGAGAGTAAGGTCGTCCACTCGTTAAAAGCCAATGACGAGCATGGACAGTGATCTCTAGAAATGATGGAATATTATGGAATATATGATGGATATTATTATTATGTCTTCGTTGGATTTCGGCGGTGAAGGGTTCCTCGTATAAAAGCATCGCGCTCGCAACGAATTCCTACGATTATTTTTCTACGCTTCTCTTCGCGCGAATCACTCGAATCCAGGTTTGACCCTCGTCGAAATGACGACGCGTATCCTCTCGTTGTTCGTGTTGTGCACGATGATCTGCCAGATCTGTCTCGCGAAACCAGCCCAAGTGTTACAGAGCCAGGAGTCGTTGAGCCCTGTAAAAGAAGCGACATCCGAAGTTGTTGGTCAGTTCACTTAAAGAAAGAATATTTGCTCTTTTTTTTCTTTTTGTAATTTTTTTGGAGTAGGAGAGTTTTACATTTTTTTTTATATTATAAGAGACTCTTATCATTAATGAACGATGAAATGTCGCATGGTCAAATAATCGTGGATTGATTTATACAGATTTTTATGTTGGCACAGGTAACAAGAGGGATCAACGATCGCCACAGTTTGGATTCCTCAACGAAGAATTCTCGAATCCGATACTATCGCGACCAGGTTTTCCAGAGCCTATAGTTTATCCAGCACAGGCTAGTGAATCGGAATCTTTCGCGGAATCTTCCGCAGAATCCATCAGCACGAATGGAGGTCTTTCCATAGAGGAAAGTCAAGCGAATGCGCAGAGTGCTAGTTTTAATTTCGGCCCGTACTCTGCGTCTTTCAACGTTGCCGAATCTTCCTCGGGAAGCCAAAGCTTTTAACACGTCCAACGTAATTATTTATCTTTTTTCTGTTTTCCTTTCTTTCTTTCTTTCTTTTTTTTCTTTTTCAATCTACTCTATCTCTATCTTTGCGCATGAATTTTTAAACGAACAATAACAATTCCCCTCTCGATTTACATTCTTATATCATATTTCTTCGTCTCAACAACATCCGCTTGTTTATTAATATTATATCATATATTAAATATTCCTACAGTGTATACTTGTTACCTTGAAACCAAAACAGAATCCAAACGTTCCTCCCTACTACGTCGCTTCAGTGAGAACGCAGTTTAAAATGCGTCGTCAATTTTAATCGTATCAACTTTCCTCGAAATCCCATACACCAAAGCCCCCGCCACACAATCTTCTTCGCTATTTTATCCACACGAACGTTCCTCTCTCAGACATCGTGCTTTACTAGAGAATGCGCATGGTGCGTCGTTAATTCCAATCAATTGCACGCTTTCTTTGAAATCCCATATACCAAAAACTCTATCTTTTTCTTCTTGTACAACTACAACTAAGTACGCAAAATCCAAATTTTGCTTTAACTGAATCGCCTCCAAAATACCATCGCTTTCATAATATCAAATCCTTTATTTTTTTCTATCTTTCTGATATCGCCTCAACGAGAATGTAAAATGATCAATTTCGATTAATTTTCCTCAAATATTCTAAATCATTGTTCATGATTTTATTTATCTACATCGTTTCAATGAGAATTCAGTTTAAGACGGTGCTCGATCAATTCCAATCAATTTTTCTCAAAATCTCATTCACCAAATCCTAGTTCACGATTTTTTTTCACCGTTCTATCTACACGAAACCCAGATATTCTTTTGACATCGCTTCAATGAGAACGCAGTTTAAAACGTGAAACAATCAATTTTGATCAATTTTTATTCGAACATTCGAAATCGTGGTTCACGTTCCATTTCCATCGTTTCAATGAGAACGCAACTTAAGAAATATACTTTACTCATTTCCAATAAATTTTTCTCAAAATCTCATACACCAAATCCTAGTTCACGATTTTTTTCACCGTTTCTTCATCCACGCGAAACTCAAATTTTCCTCTAACATCGCTTCAATGAGAACGTAGCTTAAGACGCACACGGTCGATTTCAATTTTTCTCGAACATCCCAATCCCAAGTTCACGATTTTCTTTTCACATCTTTTCACGTTCCATCCACACGAAACCCAGATTCTTTTCGGATCACATCGCTTCAATGAGAACGCAGCCTAAGATGCACGCGGCGCCCGATCAATTCCAATCCCAACTTTCCTCGAAATCTCGCACACGCCAAGGCCCAAGCGTGTGCGCGATCCTCTCCACCGAGTTCGAGACACGTGTAACAAGCAGGCACCGTTCGACACGCTCCCGTCCCGTGTCCCATAACCGAGAATATTAATTGACTTCTCGAGCGCGCGTGCAACCGCGGCACGCGCGTCGCAGCTCAACGAGCGCATCATCGTCATCATCATCGTCGTCATCATCATCATCATCATCATCATCATCATCATCGCCACCACGGGCCGTGCGCACCGCCCGAGACGAATCGATCTTCCACGCGAATCGATCTCTTCCTGCAATTCCTTCAGGCCCACATACCTACGCGTACGCTTCTGTTTACGAGCGTGGAATTCACGCCGTTGACTAATCGCCCCTCCCCCATCCCTCGATCGCGTGCTAAACGCGTCCTAATCGAGCAGCCTATTGTGCTATCCGATCCCTGGAAACGCGATTCAACTCGTGGGGACGGGAGTCAATTGGTCAACACCGGACAGATAAATCGCGATACCATTTCCATCGTGATTCGACAATAGAAATTACGTTTGGCTGGCCGTGAATGTTGAGCGTGGTTAGCGAGAAATTCGTTCTCCTTCGGTAAACACGGAATATAGAATGGAGCAGAGGAAGAGAATTCTTTCTCTTTTCTTCTGCACCTCTTGCGTAAAACTTCCTCTCGACGTTAAGGAGATTTGGTCAGGTTGAACTATTTGGTTTTTTAGTTGGTTTTTAGTTAGTCGTTCGATAGGATTGGTTGGAGAACGAGAACGATCATTGGACACGCGATCCCAAGAATAGAAAATGGTAGAGAAACGACGAAATGATGAACGTGGAAGGAAGGAAGGAAGAATGTCCCGTTCGAAGATATTCGAGGCAATCTCGCGGTTATGGCTCGCGTGCAACGATAGGAAGTCGTAAAGCGTCCGAATACACGCTCGATACACGTTTCATTGGTCGGAAGGATCTCGAGACATCTCTTTTTCTCTCTCTCTCTCTCTCTCTCTCTCCGGTTCCCTCGAGAAATGCGTGCGTAACGCGTGTCGGGTTAACGAACTTTGCCGATTATAGAAATTTACATGATTTTACGATACATTCGCTCAAACGACGGAATCGTCTCCGCGTAGATCGAGCTCATGTTATATTATTTCCTCTCTGGATATTATTATATTCTCTCGCATCGTCGCGCAAATTTTACAACACCGTGGTATTACGTGTAAGAGCATAGACGGATGAAAGAAGAAGAGAAGAAGAAGAAAGAAAGAAAGAAAGAAAGAAAGAAAGAAAGAAGAAAGAAAGAAAGAAAGAAAGAAGAAAGAAAGAAAGAAAGAAAGAAAGAAAGAAGAAGGCGATTGTCGATCGAACGCAGGGGAGAGGAGACTTTCTCCGGAGGAGATTTCTCGATCGTTCACCCGGTGTAAGAAAAAAAATAAAAAATAAAAGAAACGAGAAAAAGGCAAGGGCCAGGTTCGCGGGGATGCGACGTTGGGACGAAGGGAGGCAAAGAGAAGGCCACGAAGGCCTCCCTTTCGTGAGCGCGGAGGGAGAGGGAGAGTTCACGAAGGTTAACGAACCCGCGCGAATTAAAAGGAGGAAAGGAAAGGAAGAAAGCGCGTGACGTAATCGCGCCTCGTACTCTTTTCCACCTCTGCCCATGCGGCACAGGAACGGAAACAAAACGATCTCTCCGATCTCTCTAAACGAGGACTAAGGGTGAAGAAACATGCGTGGAACATCTGTCCGCACACAGTTTTCGGGAGTATTGGAGAGTATTCGAGAGATGGAGAGACACGATCATTTCGTATCGTGCGTGTCAACTTTTGTGCGGCGACTGCCTTTCGAGGAGTGGACGTTCGTTCGTTCCCTTCTCTCTTCTACTTCCCTCTCCCCTCCCCCCTCTCCCTCTCCAACACTCCCCGCCCCTCCTCTCCTAACACTTGGCCCTTGGACCGCGACAAAAGCAGAGGCTTGCCTACGCGTTGATTATTCAAATGTGTGTGGGACCTGTGCGAAAAGGAACGTCGTAAAACCGTGCGCGGCGCTGCCTGCATTGTCCCATTGAGCCGCAGCTCCTTTTGGTACGTGTGAAAAAGAATGGACAAAGGGAAAATGAATCTTCTTGGTTCTCAGGCGATCGGCAGACGGCCAGACAGACGGATTAACTCGTTTTAAAGGGATCCGAGGGATACGCCATGTTGCCGGCCGCTGCGTCGCAACGCAGGGGCGAGCACGTTGCGCCTCGCCTTCAACCACCGATCGGACCGGTCTCTTTTCGTTTCGAAAACGCGCCTACACTCCCGATGCTTCGTTTTAAAATCCAGCTTCCAGTGCGTTTCTTTCTCCCTTTTTTTCTTCTTTGAGCTTAAGATGTGAAACGGGAGGAAAGGAGAATCCTTCGCTTCTTCTTCGTGGCCACGACGATCCCCTCTTTCGAAAAATAAACATCTCGTCATCTCGTTAGATTATGTTACCAATTGCTATTCCATCTATCTCTTCTCGTAACGGGAAGAGGGGGCAGAAAGTTGCGCGATGGAAGAAACGAATCACCTTTACGGGATGTTGCAGTTATTAAACGATAGATAAACGAACGAGGCGAATCGTGGTAAACGAGGATTGATTATACGGCCGACAACCGCGTCATGAATTGTTAAAATCGTATCAATCACCCGGACGCGTACATTATCATCGGCGCTCCGACGGGGCCAATAAATTCTCGTATGTAAATCACCTCGCAGTCTCCCTTTCAAGGGTCATTCTGCACACGGGTTAAAGGTCACAAGTGGTTCCACACGCAAGCTTATTCATGCGTACTGTATAAGCTTAAGACCGGGAGAAATGCTGATCTTAGATTGCGCATCATCCGAATCCTGTTATTCCTCGTTGTCGATTCCTTCCAGGGTCTGGATAACACGTTTTTCGAAATCGCTCTATCATTTCCCTTTCCTTCTTCCTTTAAACAAAGGAAGGGATCGCAGCAGAATAAACTCAAGCGAGGGCAAATTTTTTAAATTATCCAAGAAGGAATGGAATCATAATGGAAAGAAGGAAGAACGAATCTTCCTTGGTTCCTTAAATTTTTCAAATTTTCTTATTTTGTTCACAGATCACTTCACCCTCCCCTCCCCTCGGCCGCGAACGGATCGCCTTCAATCCGTCTAATACAAGATGGCGTCGATCGTCTATCCGCACCGTTGTTTACAAACATTCTACATTCATTATAGATAAATAGAGGCGAGCAGCCTGGCCGAAAAATGGGCGAACCACCCTCGTGGAGATTTCCTGAGGGCCCAGAGTTCCCTTTGTCCGTACGCCAGATGTTCCCGCGAATAAAACCGATAAAATATCGCGATGCGGTCCTCTCGTCGGCGGAGGGACGAGGAAGGCCGGTGCAAGGAAGCGGAGAGAGAGGAGGACCGGGGATTAAACGGCACAAAGGGAGGCGAAGAAGGAGGAAGAGGAGGCTCTGTAACAAAAAACAAAAAAAAGAAAAAAAAAAAAGATGCGAACGCTGAAAATCGGGATCCGTGCAGGGAGGCGTGCAATGACCGGGACCCGATTCGTGAACACACACGTGATCCTCCACGCTATCTATCCGTCTGGAACTTTCTCCGCTGAGAAAGGCTGTTTCTTATTGAAAATAAAAAGCCCTAGGAATCGAACGTTGTTTTTCGTTTTCTCCTCTTCACCTCTTTCTTTCTCTCGTTCTTTTTTTTTTTTATTTTTTCTTTTTCGAAGAAATCGATGGAAATAATTTAGAGAAAAAATTTTATTTATTTAGCGTTTCTTTCAATCTTCTTTTATGACCAAGGTTTGGAATAGATATTGGATCACAACAGTTTTCCGTTCCCGTTCGAGACGAGGCTATACGTATTTCGCGTAGATGGAGGGAAACTAGCTCGAGAGAAGTTGTATATTCTCGCCGGTTTGCTCTATAAAAAGCCACGGCCAATAAA